GACCTCGCGAGGGACCCGCTACCTCAGCCCATACCGCGGCCCCCACCTGAGGGAGATCCTGCGGCTTCAGCCCAGGACTCCTACACCACCTACCTTGACCACGACACTGGTTGGACATGGGTCTACGCTGCCACGGACGGTGCATGCACCAACCAAGCCATCCCATTGCTTGCACGAGCGGGCTACGGCGTCTACTACGGCATCGACCACCGCATGAACTACAGTGCACGCGTTCACGGCATTACGCAGAACGCACAGCTTGCGGAGACCCTCGCCATTGTCCACCTCACGGCATGTGCTGAACGGCCCGTACACGTTTTCGTGGACAACCAGGCGGTGGTTGATGGGTTCCAAAGGATCATCGACGGACACTCACCACCGCAGGGCACGCACGTGGAGCTCTGGGAAAAGATCCACCGATGCGTCATGGCCAAGCCCAACATGTTCCGCGTCGAGAAAATCGCAAGCCACCAGGGCGACATGGGCATCGACCTCGGGCTCATCGGGCCCATCGCGGAGGAGTTCAATCGTCAGGCTGACGCCCTCGCCACAACGGCGGCACGTACTCATAACCTTCCAGACGACATTGTCGAAGCTGCCAAAACACGACATCGCCAAGCGACCGTGCTTCATGGAGTCGCTGTCGCCATCTACGAGCGTAGACACCGTACACTCCCCCTCCCACACCGCAGGGCTGGGTTCACAGCTGCGGAACTCAACAAAATGGAACCAAATCCCCTGCTGTCTGACCAGGCACCACCCGCGGCTGGACCAGACATCCCACAGAACCCGGACGAGCTCTGGGCCGAGGCCCAACGGGCGATATTCGACGAACAGGAGGACGACCCGTTCGGCTTTGGTGGGGGCCTCGACTTCCTGGGCGACGGGCCAGCCAGCGCCAACCCTGCCTCGTCGGGCACCCGCACGGCGCCCCCGACTCCGCCATTGAGAGCGGCAGCGCACCCACATGACAACGCCGCTCATTTTCAAGACGCTGACGAACAGGAGGATGACCTGTTCAGCTTCGGTGGGGGATCGGACGCTTTGGACGACGGACCAGCCAGCGAAAACCCTGCCCCGTCGGGCAACCTCTCGATCCCTACTGCGACTCCGTCCCCGAGAGCGACATCGCCCACATACGATGATATCGGCCACCGCCAAGACGCCGACCACGACCTGGGTGACCCCCGCGGACTGAGTGGCATAGAGGACGCACCGCCGATACCACACGCTGCCGACCATGCCGCCCTACCGAGACGCCAACCTTCTACGCGACCGACCTCAGAGCCCTTGCACGGCATCATGATTGGTCCCACCGCGCAAACCACTCCGCCCCCCCACCGGCGGCAGCCCGCGGGGGCGGCTTCAGCCCCCCCGCAGGGCACTAAACCAGACAGGCCCTCGTGCCCCGTCCACGCTTCCATCGTTGCTGAGCGAGAGGAAGCGGCTCTCCCGACCTCTCGGGGCGTGGCCCTAGCGGCTCCAGCCCTGGGGTCGCGTGTGCCCCTCCAGTCACCCTTCAAGGGTGACGGACGACAGCGTACAGGGTGCCGCACTACGCTAGTCCACCATTTGGACAGGCGTACCGAGGACCTCGCCTCTGTCTCGAGGCCCTCGGCTGCTGGCACTGAGCAGCCACCCCTCACCGACCGCGAAACCGAGCTGTCACAGGCTATGGCTGCTCTCCAGCAGAGGTGCTTAGCTCTCGCCGCGGACCTCGCCGCCGCCCAAGCTCGCCAAGGCCCTCTACTCCAGCGCCTTCACAGCGCTGGGCGAGCCTTTGCCGAGCTGCTCACGGCCTCGCCCGATGGTGCCGTGCCGTCACTCACCATCCAAGCTATGCTGTCATCGTTCCGCGGCGCTCCACCTGGTGCCCCGCGCTAATCTCCTCCTTTCTGCCTGCCCGTGTGTACGCGTGGCTCCGCGTCCACGGTGTCAGGGCGTGGGGGCGGGGGGTGCCCCGTCACTGCGCGCCGCTTAGCGGCCAAGCGCCCAACTGGCGGTCTGCCAAGCCGCCTAGCCACGTGTCAGCACGTCGCCTTTCTTGTTGGGGCCTCTTTCCTTACGCGGTCTGACAGGTGAGATCATCATCGTCTGTCCGCCGTCTGTAGCGTCTGTCGCACTGCGCCGGGGGAGGGGTTTTTTGTTGCCCGCCCTCGTATCTAAAGGCTGCACCGCCGCAAATAGTGTTTGCGAGTTGTCGCACCGCAGTGCGCCTCGCGGACGGACCCTGGTCCGCCTACTTGTCCGCTCTCTCTCTCTCTCTCTCTCTCTCTCTCTCTCTCTCTCTCTCTCTCTCTCTCTCCTCTCTCTCTCTCTCTCTCTCTCTCTCTCTCTCTCTCTCTCTCTCCTCTCTCTCCTCTCTCTCTCTCTCTCTCTCTCTCTCTCTCTCTCTCTCTCTCTCTCTCTCTCTCTCTCTCTCTCTCTCTCTCTCTCTTCTCTCTCTCTCTCTCTCTCTCTCTCTCTCTCTCTCTCTCTCTCTCTCTCTCTCTCTCTCTCTCTCTCTCTCTCCTCTCTCTCTCTCTCATCTCTCTCTCTCTCTCTCTCTCTCTCTCTCTATCTCTCTCTCTTCTCTCTCTCTCTCTCTCTCTCTCTCCTCTCTCTCTCTCTCTCTCTCTCTCTCTCTCTATCTCTCCTCTTGGGGGGGGGGGGCGGCGGGTCGCCGCGGATGGGCCGCTTGCGCGACCCGCGGGGCGCGGCCTCCGCCCCCGCCCCGCCCCCGCGCATTCGTGAAACCCCGTCCTCCGCCCATGCCCTGGCCCCCTCGATCCGGGGCCGCCTGGGCTGGGCGTCGGCGTTCGCCGCCTCGCTGGCAAGCGCGCCGACTGGGCCGTCGTCGCTGGGCCGATGCGCTGGCCTGCCCCGGGCCGCAGGCGCGACCGCGCAGATGCGCGCGTAGCGGGCCGACCAGCTCTCTTCCTCGCGGAGGCGGCGCCGCGCCGGCACCAGCGATGAGTTCTGTCGATTGAGAAACACTCTGCGCGGAAGAGGATGATTCGAGGAAGATTCGACATGCTGAGCCGTCCGACTCGCGCGCCGCCGCCCCCTTTGTTTTCGGCGCATTCTTGGCCGCCGTCTCGATCAGCCCCAGCGCCGGGGCCGAGGCCTGTCTGTCCGCGGCCTGCATCCGCAACCGATTCTCGGCGAAGTAACGATCGACGGCGATGCGGGCGGCGATCGGCCCCGCAGTGCGCGAGGCCGCCTCCGCGTCGCCCTCGATCCCAGCGGGGGTCCGAGACGCGAGGGCCCCTTGGCGCCGACTTGCCTGACCAATGCCTGACGCTTAGAGGCGCCACCTGCGGTGCTCTCGATAGGAATCTCTTGTTCGACGCGGCCGTGAACCTGTTTCTGACTAAGAAGACTGCGCGCGATCTCCTGCGGCTCCTTCGCCCGAACCGTTCCGAGCCGCTTCGGATATGTGTCGTCTTCGCCGCGGTCTTGGCGCGCGATGATGGGTGAAGCCGTCGCGTCCAACGTCCTGCTTCATGGGGCTGGCTGGCCAGATCGGTGACCCCCGGGGGTGCGGTCAGACCTTGGTTGTCGGATTTGGCTGCGTAGAGATCAGACTGGGTTTTGGTCTTGCCGCAGTAGATGTCGAGGCATGTTCGCCAAGCAGAGGCGTCATCGTGGCAATGATCCGGGATGTTGTCGGTGGGTGGCCCCGAACATCGGCCTGTTTTTGATCAAGCGTTTGCGCTTGACAAGAAGACGTGGGTCCCGACAGCGCCCGTTCCCTGCCAATGAGGTCGAAGTAATGGTCTCTGCTGGCGCTGACAAGAGCCAATGTTTCCCGTCAGTCTGTTGGACCAGACTCTGCATCATGCCCTCGAGCTCCGCTATTTGGGACATGGTTCTCACGCTTTGAAGCTCCCCCGCCTCATCTGTGATAACTTCCTCTATTTGCCCCTCCCAGCAGAGGGTCTTCGAAGTAGTGAGATTCAAAACTGTCGGCCAGGTCATCGCTCTGCGAGATTTTCAGTGGCTTGTCCAGCGTGGTGATATCGGCGTCGTTGATGTCCTCGTTGGAGGCGCTCTCGCTGGACTTCGCAGCGGCAGCGGGTGTCGCCCCCTCGCCCCCACGTCGGAGGGGTCCAGCTTCAGCGATTGAGTACCAGGCCCCGCCCGTACGGGCCTCCAGCACCTCCGCACCCTCGAGACAGAGAGGTCTTGCGCCAGGCCGCACGCAGCTGACTAGGGAAGTCAACACCCTGAGGTGATGAGGAGGAGTCGCGCGCGGGCGCATCGTCGAAAATCATATGATAATCGTTCCTCTTTTCCTCCCCCTTCGACTCATCCTCCTCCGCCTTCATCGTCTCCCCATCCCCCCTCCTCCTATTTCCACTATCCCCCTCATCCTCTTCCCCATCCTCTTCCTTCTCCACCTCAGTTTCGTCCCCACTTTGTTCCTCGACCGCATCCCTCTTAACATTTGTTTGTTGCATCTTCCCTCTCGTCCTCCCAATTCCAAAGTGTTGGCTGCCACTGCGTGGTAGGACTTGTGTATTTCTCAGGGCCAGGGGCGACCCCCTTTGGGGCGTCGCCATGTTGGAAACCAGTCCACATGTCAAATGCGACTGCGAGGTGCCACAGGACTCGTTGAAGATGGCCCACCGACTCCCTCAGAAGCTTCACGACTTCCCGAAACAAAAAACCCCAAACGACCACCCAAACCCATAAGCCCCAAACATCGAACACCCGACCGATGTTCGGTTGTGCGCTCGGTTGTCCCAAGTTATTCTGCCGAAGAAGGTACCGGAACGGCTTCAGAAGGTCCCAAGACAGCCACAGCGGGCCCCCAACGGCCCGAGGACCTCACAACACAGCGTCAGATCGCTCCATGATAGCTCCAAGAGGGCTCAGGGAGGAGGGAGGGACGACGGGGGAGAGGGGGCAGACTGCCTCCCCCTAACATTGTTTTCCGTCTCCCCTCTCCCTCTTCTCCTCGTTCACCTTCTCCTCCTTTTCCTCTCCCACCGTCGTCCCCCTCCTCGCCGGCGGTCCTCAATAAAGTCTAGCATGTCGGACCTGTAGTGCCCAGCAAACTCGCACGCGGCCATGCCGCTGTCGACGTACCTGCCTCGAGCTCCCCGCACCCATCGTCCAGGAGAACGCTTTGAGGGATTCTCTTGCATTCTGAATGGGGGCCCTCCCTCACACATCCTCTCTCCCCTCGCCTCCTTCAGACTTGTTCTTCCTGCAGCTGCCTTTTCTCCCTCCTCCTCCTCCTGTCCTCCTACTCCTCTTCCTCTTCCTCTCCTGTTCCTCCCTCCTCCTCCTCTTCCTCCACCACGTCCTCCTCTTCCTCCTCCTCCTCCTCCTCCTCCTCCTCCTCCTCCGCCTCACACTTCGGCCCTCCTCCTCCTCCTCCTCCTCCTCCTCCTCCTCCTCCTCCCAACCCCTTCATCCTCCTCGCCCCTCCTCCCCTCTGCTCGTCCCTCCTCCACCTCCTCCTCCCCCTCCTCCTCCACCTCCTCCTCCTCTGGATCCGCGCGAATGCGCGGCGGCCTCACGTGATGGCTGCCGTGGGCCGCCAGATGCGGCACACCTTGCGGGAACAAAGGCGCTCGCACCCTCGCTGAGACAATTTACGCGTGAGTGCCCGCGCTATTGCCTCCAATTTAGAGCGTCGCTCAAATGGCGGGTTCTGGAAACCCTGAACCCCAACAAGTTGTTATCTCTTGGAAGGCCGATCTCTAATTCCACAAGCTTCCGCTGGCAGAGCCGCTTCTGTTTTACTCGAGCGAGCTGCCCGCCGGCTTTCCGCCGCCTTCTGCCGAGGAAAAGAGAACAACTTATGGATCCATCGAAGGCGAGGCCCTTGCTGGAGCGCCCACACGGACGAAAGAGCAAACGAAAGACGCAGTGAGGGAGCGATGGGCTGAACGAAAGATTGGTTCGATTATTGGATGAGGAAAAACTAAACAGCGCCAGTCCGAACGACTGAAAGACGTACCGTCTGAGCCGAAGACAAAACATGGTATCACGAAAAAGGAACATTGAGGAGGGCCAACCACCTACCAACGCGTTCACGAATTCATGAAACAGCGCGTTCACGGGTGCGATACAGGAATGGATAACTGGGCGGACCGAGCAAAACTGACGAGTCAGCAAGCGAGCGGCAGATAAGCAGGTAGACGGCGCGTCCGGGGGGGAAGCGAGACGGGGCGGGCCTGGAGATTTCGAAGCCTTCCCCGAAGACAATGACAACTTCTCAAAAGACTGGAGGGCTTCTGAGAGGCCCCGACGCCTTCTGAGAAGGCATTCTCCTTCTCACTTCCTTCCCCTTGCTCGCCGCCGAGATGAGGAGGAGGAGGACGACGACGACGAGGAAGAAAAGGAGACCCCTCGACATGCGCTGGGGCTTCCACGACCCTTGGCACCTTCCCCTCCTCTGGACCCTTGGCCCTTGGCACCCTGCTCGCCGCCGACAGGTGACCGGACGAGTAGTTGAGCGAGCGAGCAAACGGACCTGGCCAAGTCGGCCCTCGCCAGGACGGTCGCGGGTAGACAGCAAGCAGAAGGCGCGGCGGCAACCCGCGCGCGCGGCAATCACGGGTGCGACGACGACGACGACGACGACGACGACGACGACGACGACCATCTCTGACGTTCTCTGATGGCGCCACGCTGTCGGCTGCGGCTCGGCGGCCGACGCGTGGCAGGCCCCCAGCGCGGACGGTGCGCGTGGGGCGTAGGGAGGCACTTGCGCCCCTGCCTTACATGGGGCCCCCCTCAGGGTGGCCGCACTCCAAGGCAAGCATTTGCACCCCCGTCGGACATGCAACCTCCCGCCTCCTCGGGAGCACCTGTTCTCAGGCCGGCCTCCGAATCGCGACGACGAAGACGACGACAATGACGAAAACGACGCCGCGGTTCTGCACGCTAGGGTGGGGCGGGGCACCCCACGCGCGAGGTGCCGACCAGCTCCCACGTGGCCGTGTAGCCTCGTCTGGGCCGCTTCCCCCCATCACCACTCCTCCTCCTCCTCCTCCTCCTCCTCCTCCTCCTCCTCCTCCTCTGGCGGACACGCGTGTCCGCGCCCACACCGAGGTGAAAGGGCGGCCCAACCCCGCGCCAAAACTGGGGCGCCTTCCCCAGCAGAGACGGCGAAAGACCGCCTCTTCCAGAAGGTGGGGGTGAGCCACCCTGGGCCTTACAAGGGATCGTGACGTGCAGCACGTCGCCGCGCCCCTGCGCCGCCCCACGCCGCGCCTCGGCGCAGCGCCCCCAGCGTCAGAGCCAGCGTTCGCGCCAGCGACCTGCGTCGCCCCCCCCGGCGAACCCGCGCTGCGCCCGCGTCGCCCGTCGGCCGTCCGCCTGTGCCCCGCCGGCGGTACAGAACGTGGCTCTCGGTTTCGCGGATGTAGGGGGGTAGTTTTCAAAATGTGGCTCACCTCAGCGCCGCGCACATTAATTCTGAAAGGTTGCAACAACTTCACGGATGGACGAGGTGGCGTTTTTGAAATATTGCTTTGGCCCTAGGGCCGCGCACCTGTATCAAGGCTGCAAAAGGTCATAATTATGTTATACATGCTGCTCTCGCCGAAGAGTCGCGCGCATTCGTCTCAACAGTGCGCAGCAATGGGAGAAGGTGGTTCTGAACAATTGTAATCTCGCCTTAATGCCGCACACATGCCTTTTCAATGGTTGCTCTGTCTTCACGGATGGGGGGTGGTCCTTTTCAAAATGGAAATATCGTCCCAGCGCCGCGAGCAGTCGTCTCAAAGGATTGAACGCTGGTCGTTCTCACGACGGGGACAATCGCCTCTGCGGCGCGCGGCGTGCATTCGTTCCTTAACGTAACGTTGAGCATGATGAAAGACTGCCCTTTTATCACAGTGGAGGGACGCACGCAGCGCTGCGCGAATACATGTCGGATCTTCTGTCAAAATGGAACCGTCGCTTGAGACCTTCTCGAAGTTCATGACCAGAAGTGTATCTGTGTGCGCCAGTTGCACGGATGGGAGGGAGCGGTCCTGCAGGGGCGTATGAGAAGAGGACTTAGAACGGAATGACGTTTTGTATTACAACATATCCTGTTTGCGTACGTGCCCTGGTCATCCAGTCTTTTGCCTGGATAATCATAATCCCTGCGAAATGTTCCTATGACCTATGATATATCATGATCAGTGGGCTCCGCAGATGACATGGGGGTCAAAAGGAATAGCGCCGTCAAGCGTGCGCTAGGGCAACGCCGAAGGGGGGCCGGCCCGCCGGCCGACGCACGCGCGCGCGCCGCAGGCTCGCTCGTTTTCCGTTTCCCTAGAGCCAAAGTGCAGCTGCGGGATCTGAAGTAGTCGGTCAGCACAGCAGGCGGACAGCGCGCGCAAGGAGAGAGCGCAGGCAGGGCGACAGATTGGCGGTGCGGAAGGGGTGCATTGACTCGCCTCGCGGCGGGGTCCGTAGAGCCGCCCCGACCCCCAACCCACCTGGCCTGCGCAGATGCACAGCCACTGGAGCGAACCCCAAAAGCATTCTACCGCTCAGCGGTGGTTGCCAGGGGGCGGAAGGCCGAAGAAGCCCGACGTTCCCCGCCTGAGCTAATATTTCCAGCTCAGGTCTCAATGCCCACGCGCACCTGGTGCACCCGCTCCACGAAGTAGTGCGGACCAGCGTCGACTTTGTCGCACTGGTTTCATTGCGCGGCATCACCTTCTCCAGCGACCTCTCCATTCGCGAGAGTCATCCCAGGGGTCGCTGTTGCTCCAGCGCCGCTGGTTCTGGTCCCTGGAGGAGCTGTCCTCGCTTCTGTTCGAGCTCCAGCCACTTGACTCACTCTTGCCCTGGCCCTTCCCCGGCGGTCTCGCTCGCCTTCGGCGTTGGCGGCGGTGGAGGCGCTGGCAAGGCGCTTGACATCCCAGAGTCACGCTGGAACTTGTCGCTGTGCTCGCCCAGACTAAACCATTGCCGCGTTTTGTTGTGACCGGTGATCTGATGATGCCGGGATGCATGTACATAGTATCCTTGGATTTCTCCATTCTCGGCCTTGTCTTCGAGGTCGACGGTCGCGTCGTAGGCCCGGGGGGCCGCCGCCGTCGCTCGCGCGGCCGCCAGCCGGCTGCGCGGCCAGTCTTTCGGGGATGGGCCCATCAGTCCAGGGTTCGCCCGCCCGCGACTGGATCCTGCCATAATCGATCCAGCCAGCATTGGCGCCTGGCGCGGCTGAGCAGGCAGACGCAGGTGCAAGGGGGGCGGCCCGATAAGACTGCCTTCCACACCGGTACCTCGGTCGCGACGCCGGGCGAGGATATCGCTGGGTTCGCTGTCCCGGGGCGGCGGCGCCGCTCGGGGCAATGCCTTCAACGACTGGGTTTGCAGCGTCTGCTGGCGACTCGGCTGGGATTGTCTCGGTTGGAAAGTTGGCCGGGCCACTCCCCTCTTTTTTCTTCTTGAGATAAGTTGTGACCCCAATGGCGTTATCCGCATTGAAGACCCCAAACACACGACTGGCAAGACAAATCTTGGCACTGAATTGAGACTCCGTGGACGTGTGTGTAAAGACCATGGCCTCTTGAGTGCTTGAGCAATTCCGTCTTGCGGTCTCCGATACTTCATCTCCTAATCAGTTGATCCAATTATGAAGTAAACCAACTGTCTCTACTGCAGCTCGGATCCGACAATCCCAAGCAGATGCGTCTTGCATGCTTTGGGTGGATTGCGGAGTGCGCTGCGCCTCGTATCCCGGGAAGGCAGCAGCATGGATCCCCGCGGACATGAACAATAATATGACTTCGCGTGCAGCTAATCGAATTCGCCCCCATCTTCCATGGGCGGGGATGCGAACGAACGGTTGGTTCCAAATTCTACCCGCAAGCTCGGATCATCCCGGCGGTGCGTCATGAATGATGCCTGTGTCCAACGGGCTCGTATTTGGAGCAATCGATAAGTATTCAAGAACAAATTGTGTTGCAACTTCGATGACGTCTGACCTCTCGTATGTTTCATTGTTGTAGGTATTGCAACACATGCAGCCAGACATGGAAACCAAATCAAGCCAACAGGGCAGCGTTCTATTCGGAATAATCGGTGGATGTCGCTGGGCGATATGTTTATTGCATACGCCGTCCAACATC